AAATAAAAATTAAATTCCGTTGAAAATTTTAAAAGAAAAAATGTTTTTTTTTAATTTTTTCCTAACAAAGATATATATATATATATATATATATATATATGTAAGTTTAGTTATCGTTAATCTAAAATAATTTTCGACCGATTTCTGACGGAATTCGATTTGTTTTTATTAAAAATTAAATTCCGTCGGAAATCTGTCGGAAATTGTTTTGGATTAACGCTAATTAATTTATTTAAATAAATTAGACAAATTTTGCGACGGATTTGTGACGGTTTTCAATAAGTAAAAAATCCATCAGAAATCCGTCACAAATCCGTTTTAAAAAATTTTAATTTTTTTCCCAAAAAAATCAGTAGGGGATTTGTGGGGTATCTGTGGCAGATATGAATAAACATTGACTTTGTTTGACTTTTTTGGGATCCGTCGGGAATATTTCCAACGGAATTTCTGCCAAAAAAATCCGTCGGTGATACCTTTTTTTAGTAGTGTTTTGTCTTAAGGAGAGAGATCTAAATCTCGACTCAACGTTCAATTCATAGTTATTTATAATCAGTATATCTATTGTTTATATTTTGATAAAGTGAAAATAAGTATTAACACTTGGTTCCTTGAAATCCGTGCGAAATTTGGAGGGAATGGCCAATGGAATTGACCAAATTCCATTCCAACTTTTGATTTATTCTTTAAATTTTGGTAAACATTCGAATTCTACATATGATGGAATGTAAATTATGTTGGTTCTAGTAAAAAATTCCAATTCATTTGTACAATCTTTTAAGAAAAAAAAATATTATACTAGTATTATATTTATTCTATTTCATTTCATTCTATCATGATGGAGATTGTCGCTCCAACTGCCGCCATGATCGTGATTGTCACTATCACCTTCACCCCGACCACCACATTATATCACCATCGTCATCGGCACCACCACCACAACTATCGTCTTTGTCACCACCTCCATCACACCACCATTATTATATTCAACGAACCAAATAGTCAAGTTCAAATTGTTTTTATAGATTCCATTCTATCTTCTGCCAACCAAACGCGTGGTCAAATATGATTAAATTTTATTCGAGTTCTTTCAGATTTTAATTTATTTGACATATTCCAATTATAATAAATTCCATTATAAGAAGAAGAGCAAAGCAATGAAGCGTGTTTAAAAGTATACTAACCCTTTGGATTACTAATAAAACCATCAGATTTTAAAGTAGCGCGATCTAATTTAAAGAAAAATTACGTGAACCTCACCTAAGTTTTGTTAATTGCAAATATAAGATGGTTTGGATGATTTTTTTCCCCAATTTTTTATAGTTTTAATTGGTGATTTTACTTTTAGTTTTGATGAATTATTTGTAATTAATAATTTATTAGGCATCTAGGTTGTTTGCTTGTTTGTACAATTCCATTTAAGGCATATAACGACGTAAAATCAGGAGCGAACCTATGAAGGTATCAACGAAGTCTTGTGTATCTGTTCAACTGATTTATGCAAGTAATTTTTTTTGAGGTAGGAAAGATGGACACGTTAAACTTTGAGGGGCAGTTCGGGTTTTAGAAAATGTAAGAGACATCAACCAAAAACCACAAAAGTCTCTTAAAATCAACAAAAGAATAACAAAAAAGTCACTCAAAATCAACCAAAAACCTTAAAAATCCCTAGAAATTAACCAAATAATTAAGAAATCTACGAAAAGAGTGGAATTCAACTAAAGACACATCAAACAACTTTGCAAGCCTTTAATTTACCTTATAATCTTATAGGTTCATCCGCTCGACAAAAATCTTAATAGATATATAAAAATCACAATTTTTGTATTTGTAATTTTCATTAAGAGATATAATTCTGGAAATTTGTTGCTCAAAAACATTTAAAATAAATTGACTAGTTGTCTACCCACGCAATGCGGCGGGATGTAAATGTTCTATCATGATATATTCAACTTTTAAATATCATTTTTTTGCAAAATACTTGGTGGTTCACAAGTTGTATTATAAATCTAAAAATGAAAAATTAATGCAATTTCTCATTCAAAAAGTCTAAAATTTATGTTTAAACAAAGTAGAAATTAGAATCATGTTTTTATCATACACAATCATTATTCAAAACTTCTTGATACACCACATTTGATGCGTAGACTCCCTCTTGATTGAACTTTTCGATAGGTTTCACCAATACCTTTGTATTACCACGTGATATCCATCTGAATAA